TTCATTTAATGTCATCATGAACGTTATTAAAGTGTAGTCACAAGGGCGTGCACTTAGATGTATTTGGGCTGGCATAGCGATAGAGGGTGTGCTTAGCGTTAGAGAGGTCTAACTGTATTAAGCAAACATTGTTCTTGATGTATTATTGTCCGGAGCATAGCGGAAGACTTTTACCACGAGTTGCAATAATTTAACTTATTTATTGCTTTAACTATTCTATTGTTTTAAATCAATTAATATCGATATGTTATCAGATAATTTTTGAAAACTGTTAAATTTTGGCTCGAAAAGAAAAAAGAGTGTCATGAAATTTGTCATAAATACGATAAAATTTAATACAGAACCTACCTCTGCAGCATAACATATCTTCTTATCAATGTTAAAAAAAGAGCATCGGTATCTAATTTTTATTTAGTATCGGTATCAGTATCGATACATAATTTTCTAACTACCAGTAACATTTTCTAATATCAAGTTTTCTACAGTAATTGCAAATTTTTATAAAGGTCAACGATATATATTTTACAGTTTTTATATTTCTCTATCGAAGAGCTTTCGAAAAGTTTATGAGCGCTTTAATGTTAAAAGTATCGGTATTAATCCAAAATCATAACGAAAAATATATGTGAGAGCAAATTATTGGACATTTCACCTGAACGCTCATGCTAATGTTTCTTTATTTTTTTTACATGAATAAATTAAAGTAACTATCGCTATATACTACAGATAGAAATAGAACCCAAGATAAGGATTACTCGGATAACCCGTATAAGCACTCTTATCTGAGTAGAAACTTCGTTAACCGGTTAACCCAGATAAGAAATCAAAATTAAAAATAAATAAAACAAACCGGTATATCAAATTAAAATGCGATTCACGATGTTCATTTGATTCGAATATTTTTAAGTCGTAAAATAACCCGATTTATTTGCATTATACTGTTATATTAGCCAGTCTGATCTTTTACATAGCTCATTACTGCGACTTTTTGTAATTGGACCTAAATTAAGAACCCCGAATTACTATTTGATTTTCGTAATTAATAATAACGATGACGATAAGGAAAGCAAAATTTTTTTTGATACCTTAACTGGGTTATTCGAGTTAACCGGAGTAGAAATTTTATACGGCTTAATCTCTAACTACAGAATTATAATGTAAATGAATCAGACATGCATGTCTGTGCAGAGACACAGAAAAAGTGCGACTTTATTTATAGGAATTTCAAATCCTATAAATAAAATCGCACTCTTTCCGTGTCTCTGGTCCGTGAAATCGTGAGTAAAGAAATAAATTTATGCATAATAAGATTGGATTTGTTTGTGTCTATTAAGTTTACTCCAATGCTATCTTGATAACAATATCCAACTTAAAAGTAAGAGTATTAACTATAGTATTTACCTCCGAATAAAACGCTCTCAGTGTCTTAACTTCGAAGTCCTTAGCAGTAGTAGCCCAAGTAGTATTTATCCACTTCATTATAAATCGCTTTACATAAGATTCTCTTGTTCTTGTAACAATCGTTATCATAACCCATTAAAATAAGAAAGAAAATAATGAACTTGATTGGCACCCAAATTTGTTTATAGCAAAATAAACCCTGTATCGCTTTCATTAATTGATAGACCCGTGGGATGCCATCTTAAAATAAGCAGCATACTTGAATAAAGAGGGAGAACATAGAAAGTTATTAGTATTGAATTGATATAATTCTATAAGAAATATAAGGAAGAATGTTTATCAGACACCAGTATTGTATCCACAAGACCCAGACTCTAAAGACTTGAATCATTGTACCTTCTGGAAATAGTATAAATTGTTTCAAAATAATGATAATGCCCATGCGTGTTGCAAAAGTGGTGACTAAAATGTAACTGAAAACTACTAATCTAGCAACTACAACAATAATTGTCGCGGATGATGGTGAAATCGGATGATGGTGAAATTTTAAGTCTCAATTTGAAAATATAAGCCCTACCAAAATCCACCTATATTCTTTTGTTAATAACTCTAACCTTAAATCCTAACCATAAAAAAAAGCCAACAATAAAGACCCTAAAAAAATTTAAGAATCGTACATAAAATAGATCCAAATTTCACGATCATCCGATTTCACGATCATCCGTGACAATAACTGCGACAAGTATACCCGTGGTATTCCCTTATTTCATGGTATGCGCCCGGGTACTCATGTGGGGGATATACCGTATGAATTTTACTATTACATGCCCGGGTATATAAGTATGATACCCTTACACTTGTATAATTCAAAGATTTGGCTTCCAAAATCGCCTCAGGTACAGCCCACAGGGGTACACATGTCGCAGAAATACGGTATACTTTTATGTTAACTAACAAGATTAAAAAACTCCAAATTGGTAGCTTCAACCGAGATGGAAAGACTTTCTAAATAACATCCATACTCGTTAGTTTGTGACAATACAGTATATAAATAAAAAAATATTAAAAAATGAAGAACTTGATCCAAATATTCAGTACCTCAAAACTTCATTAAATTCATTTATATCGAATTTCTGCTAACAATAAAGTTATATGTACATCGAATCTCAATAAAAAGTTTAAATTTTTGAATAAAATTCTTACCGGTCAACATTCAAATAAAGTGCTAAAGCTTGAATCAGCGTAACAAAGAAGTTTATTTGCTAGAAAAGGCTATGAAGTATAAAGAATCTTAAAATTATTTTGTTTTTAGCTGTACGAAAAAGATCAAAATTTTTTAGTGAAAATAGAGTTTTTTTGTCTTATTTTTGTGTAAATCGAAAGCTGTAGTGATACAAAATTATATATATAATAATAGTAATTGTAACAGTAAATCAGTTTTACAAAAGGTAATATTGGTTATTTATTTTAATAATTATGAAAATATTCGAAAATTATATAACAGTACAGATTGTGTGACATATCCTCTGACCGATAATTATCGGTTACTGTAATTAATGTTATAACAAGATTGTCATAATTCATAATCGATAAATTAATAATCAATGCGTGAAAGCGTAGCGTGAAAATTGAAATGCGAAATCAAGAACACCGGAACGATCAGTAATTTTTATTCACACTCAAATGTTATCTATTATTTAATATCGATTTTCGTCCATTATGCATATTTTGTGGTTTGTTAGATTAACTGATATAGATAACCTTAATAACAAGCATTAGTGAGTCATATACTGTGTATTGCCAGAATAGTAAGATTAAAATTTTTACAGTATCTCTCAGTATTTCATAATACAGACTAAACTTTAACTTCATATTGTGCATAGAATAGATTTATAACAGAATTTTTTATAGTAATTCATAATAATTTCAATACAAGCTAACTCTCATTACCAGAATAGTTTTTCCAATATAACTTTGACTAATTTAAACTTAACCGACAAAGATCAAAATGTAAACTCAATCAATCACATTATGTCGCCAGAATAGTAGGTAAATGTTACAGAATTTGCTTATGTAACTCAGTAAAAATCATGAAAATTCTATACAAAAATTTACACAACTTTACATTACATACAGTGGTTACCAGAATAACAATAATTTCAAAAAAGAATGGTTTATCATAACTCTGATGAAAATCATAGTAATATCAATGCAAACTAACTTTCGATATAGTTTAATTTAATCACTATATGATTTTTTTTATGAGCTTTATGAGTTCTACAATTACTATACAAGCGATTACCTAAATTCATTATAGTTTCAGAATTCATTCCATTACTTTTTGGCATTTTTGTTA